GATGTCCTAAATTAAAACTACTTAAACAATATAGTTGTATACCATTAGATAGCATAGATAGAACAGTTCATATAATCTCAAGATATAATAAAATGAATGAGTACTTAGTAAACAGTTTTATATTTTAATATTATATTAAAGTATATATCGATATTTAAAGTGTTCTAAATTTGAAAGTGTATTTTGTAATATATATTTATCGATTAATAACGATTAATAATGATGTGTCAAAAATTATGACGATTGAAATAGATTCGATGATAATCGATAACTGTATTTTATTGATTATTATCTAATTATCGATTTGCATCGATTTTTAATATATATCGATTATAAATCTGTTTATCGATATATATTGTTAATTCGCAAATGATATATATTGATTAAATGCTATATATCGATTAATTTCTGTAAAAAAAATTCCCGATGCATATTATTTTTGTTATTTTTTTTCACCATACTGGTTGCTTCAATAATCGGCTTCTCATTTATTTTAACCTTTCCTTTTTGACCATTCTTTTTTGGATTCTCTGTAGATGGAAGGGGTGTAAATACTTCTTCTGCTACCGCTTCAGGAATCTGTTTCTTCTTATAAATTTGGGAATTCTCCTCCAAAACAGATTGAGATGAAGTAACCCTTGCTGAAGGCATTCTTTATAGTTCTATATTTCATAAATACGTTTAGGGCCAATATGAAATTTTTTAGCCATTATTTTTAATACATTGTATATTCTACCTCTTGATTCTCTAATTTCTTTAATATCAGCTTCTGATAACAAGGTTGCCTTAGCATCATAAAATGTATTATAGAGACGGGTGACCATCTTTACTAGATTTTACATACTAGAAAAAAAAAATAATATTTTTCAATAAATATTGATACGTATCAATATGTATATATCAATGCTCTTCAATATAAGTTGATACTCTCCAATATATATTAATATTTTTCAGTACACATCAATACCCTTCAATAAATATCAATATATTTTAATACTCACCAATGTGTATTAATAGGCATTAATAGATAGTTCAATGCTTTTCACCTAAAATATCTCACTTTCAAGTCCAAAAACATGAGATTTTTTTTTCTTTCAAAAAAAAATACTAATAAAATGTCCCAGATCCATACCTTAAAAGGTCTGAATAATGGTAATAAACTTGAAAATTCTCCAGCTAATCAATACCCTCCCAGCCGAACAGAGCTTGAAGAACAACTTTCTTGTGCAAAAAAAGATCATGAAGTTGCTATATATTGGGAGAGTCAGTTTGCAGATAAATACGATGTCTTAGATAGAGAAAATTCCTGATTACAATGTTCACACTCCCAACGCATCTTGAGAAAAAAAACAAGCAAGATAGATAAAAAGGAAAG